TAGTTAGGTCTTTTTTTTTTTAATCCAGTTAACCACTCCATGTCTTCTGACTGGAGAGTTTAATCCATTTACATTCAAGATAATTATTGATAGGTAAGGACTTACTACTGCAATTTTGTTGTTTTCTAGTTGTTTTGTAGATCCTTTGTTCCTTTCCTCCTTTCTTGCTATCTTCCTTTGTGGTCAAGTGATTTTCTCTAGTGGTATGGTTTGGTTCTTTGCTTTTTTATTTTTATTTTTTGTATATACTATAGGTTTTTGCCTTGTGGTTACCATGAGGCTTACAAAAAACATCTGATAGTTATAACTGGTTATTTTATCACATTTTAATTTGTTTTCTATTTTAACCATGACATAGAGATGGTCCTCAACTTATAATGGTTCAACTTACGATTTTTTGACTTCACAATGGTGTAAAGGTAGTATGTATTCAGCAGAAACCATACTTCAAATTTTTTATTTCAAAAGCTTTTCCCAGGGTAGCAATATGTGGTACAATACTTCTTGTGATGCTGGGCAGTGGGAGCGAGCTGCAGGTCCCAGTCAGTTACAGGATTACAAGGGTAAACAACTGATAGCTTTCTACAGACCACCATGCCTGCTAAGCCATCAACAAGTGTCAATACCCCAGTGGCTTCTACCAGCTATTCTTGAGACTCATCAGAAGAGAGAGAAATGGATGACCCTGTTAGAGTAGTAGCCCCATAATCCAACAGTTAATTTTAGTTCAAATATTCTTTAGGTTCAGTGTGCTTTCAGCTGTGTGTGTTAATGGTGAGTACCCATATAACCATTTTGTTTTTCATTTTCAGTATAGTATTCAACACATTACATGAGATATTCAACACTTTATTGTAAAATAAGCTTTGTGTTAGATGACTTTTGCCCAACTGTAGGCTAATGTAAGTGTTCTGAGCACATTTAAGGTAGGCTAGGCAATGATATTCAGCAGGTTAGGTGTATTAAATACATTTTCAACTCACAATATTTTAAATTCATGATGGGCTTATTGGGACATAACCCCATCATGAGTCAAGAAGCATCTGTACAGGTAATTATCTTATTTCTATTTTTCTGAGAGGTCTTGATTGCCTTTATTTTTTTCTTATCCATAAAAGAAACATATTTAATCTGCACCGTATCCTGAATATCTGCCACTTTCTCATCATTCTATTGCTTAGCTTCTTTCTTCTGGAAGTTAATTGATCTCCTCTTCTCAATTGACTTGGCTGCTTTTTAGACTTGCTGCAGTTTATCATCCTGGGATTTCTTGTCATTAGACTTTTAAGAGTTAGTTCCAGAGTTTCTTGTATCCCACATCTTGCTCCTTCTGGTTGTCATTTTTGTTTTGTTGAAGTACAAGATAATTTTCTTGGAAGAGTTACTAGGGAGGTAAACTTTCTGAGTCGTTGCTTATCTGAAAAGTGACTTTATTTTTACCACATACTTTGATTGTGTGGCTGAAAATAAAATTCTAATTTCAAAATCATTTTCCCTCAGAACATTGAAGCCTTTATTTCACCATAGTTTAGTTTCTGGTCTTGCTTATAAAGAATCTAATGGACTAGTCAATCTGACTCTCATTCTGTTGTAAGCTGACTTATCCTCCGTGATCAACATTCCTGCATTCTTTGCCCTGGAAACATTTAGAATTTTCCCTTTGTCTTTGGAGCACTGACATTTCAAAATGATGTATCTATGATAATTTCGGTTTATCTTAACTGTAAATTGTTGTTTACACCAATTTTAAAAAACAGTCTCTCTCTTTAACTCTGAAACATGCTATTCTATTATCACATAATTTTCTCTCCCTTGTTTCTCTTTTCTTATTACTAGTATTCTTACTCTCTAGTATTCTTATTACTTGGAGATATAGGACCCTGTATCTTTAGCTTTCTTTTCTACTTGACTTTTAGCACTTCCATTGGGAAATTATGTACCATTACCTTCTAATACTTTCACTGATTTTTTGGTGCTGTAAATATATTTTTAATTTTTAAGAACCCTTCCCTTGTCTTTCATTCCTCCCTTTAAAAAGGAACAGAATCCCATCCATTAGAAAATGAAAAGAATGGAATATATTCCTAATTCTCCTTGTGTCTACTGCATAGACTTTAAGGTGCTATGTTTTTAAATTTTTGTTTTTAATAATCTCTTATATTTCCTAAATCATTTGTTTCCTTTTAAGTTAGTTATTCTACTGGTTTATTTTAGCCTTTCCTTTCATGCACCAAATTTTCCTCAATCTTGGGTTCCTTGGTTGTCCATTCATATTTCAAACTAAGGCAAAAGGACTGAGTAGAAAATCTGTGAAAGTATTTGGGTGGATTGTAGAAGAGAAAGCTAGCTCTTACATTGGTGACTTTAAATGCCAGAAGTAAGGCTTTCTTTTCTCTGAGAACGAGGCCGCCCACACTATCTTAAGCAGTTTATTCAACACTTTAGAGAAGACGATGCCTGGCTGCTTGCTATTCTGCATGCCTGAAGCATGTAGGGGTGGGGACAAGGATGAAAAGTCAACTCTAACCCTTCTTCATACCAACCTTCACATTTCACTGACCTCCCCCAGTACCACCACCACTTTCAGCCCCTTACTCACTTCTTACTCTGGCCCCCTCTGTAACTGTTGGCCTGGCTGTGGCTACAGCTTCTCTGTTCCCTGGGTAGGCAGGAAGCCAGCTCTTCTATGTACAGTTCAAGTTCACCCACTAACACTCTTCCATTTACTTCACTCATAGCAGAAAATTACTGGACTCTTTTATTAGCTGATGCCCTTTCTTTCACAGTGTTGTCCTCCCTGTTCCGATCTACTCATTTATAATCATTGCAATGGGGTCCCAGAAGGCACAGACATCAACATTTGTGCTTGGTTGGCCATCATGAACCAGAAGTGACCAAGAACATCATTTTGATACTAATCTGTCCCTCCATCCCTGGCTTTGATTGGGCTACTTAAATCTAAAAATGTCAGTAAAGTTTCCAAGATGCTTTTCACTAAAGAAAGTCCACATCTGTGCCACTGACAGACTTGCAGGAACGAGAGTTAGGTTCACTGTGGAAAGTACGTCCAGGCTAGCAAGATGCTGGACAGAGTAGATGACTACTTCACTGGTCAATTCAGAAATAAACAAGCACAGAGGACCCTGAAATTCTTCCCAGGACCCCAAGTCTGGGTAACTTCCATAACCCAAGTATGGGTAAGTTTATCAGTCCAGTAAGATTTGACTTCAGAAAGCAGAATAATTCTAGGACTAGAGGCCAATTACCTAGGAGTTACCATAATACCATGCTTTACTGTGTCCCCAGGCTGACCTCTTCTCCCTACTTCCCTGTCAGGAGGGGACCTAGGTCTATACTTCCCAGTCAAGGCAGAAGCCATCAGCTTCCTACCCTGCCTCTTCATCTTAACTTCTACTCTTCTTTAGCCTTCTCCACGCCTCAGCCTAAGGCAAGCCCATCTACTCTGCCCACCTGCTTAGACACCACTTGTCCTCCCCCAGGGCCTATTCCAAGTATCAATGGCCAGTGGGACTTACAGGCCACTCTCTTGGGGCACTTGTGTTGTGAAAGAAGGTTCATGTTTTAAATTAAAACCTCTTGGCAGCATTCCCCAGAGGGTGTGTTTTGATGTGTAGTGGGCACTGTCAACTGTGGCCCATCCCCTGGCTGATGTGTGTGTAGGCTGCTTATGGCTCACATCTGCATTCTCCTCTAGAGAACCATCCTCAGCTGAAAGGATCCCCTTTCAAAGAGGGTTACACTCCCCTTCCACCCCACAGTCAGTCAATGGCTGAATGATATGGGGCATAAAAGGGAAGCCCTCTTGCCTCAAGGCGAGGACAACTCTTTGGTGTAATTTTTGTTCCAGAGTCCCCCAGCCAGACTTTATTTGAGACCACAACCATGTTGAGCCCCCTGCCTTTCCTTTACAGGTTTTCCCTAAGAGCACAGCATCATTAAACCAAGTGTTCCCAATTCCCTTTCTCAGGCTCTGCTTCTAGGGAACCCCACTTAGGATGATGGGAGAGAGGCTTTGGGAGATAATGGGATGCCTTGGTAAAAATCTCAGCACTTACATGAACACTTGGATGGATATCTCAAATCCCAAACACTCTGTGGTTCAGTTTACAACTCAAATCTACAAGGCACGGGTCACAATCTGCTAGTTTTCCCCTATACTCAGAGTGGTCTGAAGCACTGTGAAAGGTGGTCCCACAGCTTTGCCCCCATCCTGCCTAGGAGGCTGGGTTAGCCCACAGTTTTTCCTGATCTTCCACAGGATTCTGAATCTGTGGTGATCTTGGGTTTCAAGAAAAGATTTGAAACAGACTTGGGATTGCAGATTCCTTGCATATTTCCTGCACTGCACTCAATGCTGCACGCCTCAGAGCTGGCCAGCGTTGCTGCACAGAATCAGGCACAGGCTCACTCCTACCTCATACGAGTGATGCACCCAACATTGCACTAAAGCTTCTCTACACAGCAGCACATCCCAGAATCTGATGAGTGTGGACCACCCACCTGTACTTGCTCCAGTGCTGTTTCCAGGGACTCTTGGGTTGAGCATTCTGTAACTCAACTGCCAATTCAGCAAGCTACCATTCTTGCCTCTTCACCTCACTCATTCTCCCACCAATAAAACATTCATTAAGCACATTAAGCACCTACTATCCACCAATCTAAGCTCTGAAAACAGTTTAAGAACAGGGGCAAGTTCAGGGACCAAGTGGCCAGCCAGTTCATGACCTCGAGGGGATTGTAACTTCTAACAACTTGAGAACTGTCTGAAAGTGTTTAAGTCCCATAGTAGTCACAAGTAACCCCTAAGATCATTTATTTTATCATTTTGCAGATCAGAAAAGGGAGACCCAGAGAGGAGGTGTGTCCTGGCTGTGGTCTCCCGAGCAGCCAGGTCCACAGCTCTCTCAACTTTTGGGCCATTATTTCTGCTGTGTGCAGCTGCCACCTTGGGTGCTGGGTATGAGCTTTAAGGTTCTGACCTGATTCTTTTGGGCAATCTTTTGTCCCTTTTTCCAGCGGAGAACTGGTGTCAGAGGCGGCAGTTCCCTCTCCTCTTCTCCAGTCACGTGCTCACCGAGGCTGTAGGCTGCTTCAAACACGATTGGGCTGATGACGTCCTGCACCCTCCGCTGAAACAATAAACAAATGCGTGCATTAACTACTAATCCTGGCTGACAGTCATAGAGCATTTCACAGTTTACAAAGACCTTCCACATGAATTGCCTCATATGATCCTCACCATCACCCTTGTGAGGTAGGGTTTTATGACTTACATATTTTAAATGAGGTAATTGAGGCCTAGGGCAGCTAGTGTCTTGTCCAAGGTCACTCTGCTGATGGGTGGGGGCCCTCCTTCTCTACCTTGCCTGGTGCTAAATCATCTTCTCTTGAGCATATGGAAGACATTACTTTACTCATCCTCCAAATATTCTTAGAAACCAGTTGGCAAATGGGAGAACATCTGTGCTCACTCTGCTAACCCTTTGCATTCAGTGTTTTGATGATCAAACCTCTTTTGCATTGAGATAAATATGGATTTTGTGTTAAGGCAGGGAATCCAAAGACTGAGTGGCCCAGCGTCATCCCAGAGTTAGACATCAGTGGAGCCAGGGATGAAAGTCTGACTCCTGGCCCTATGTTCTTTCCTTTAGAATCCAAGAATCTCAAGCCCCAAGGGAACAGTAGATTGACAGTCATGATGGGAAAGGAAGGGAGGCGAGCAAACATGCCCTGAACATATGAGATGCCAGGCACTGTGCTAGGTGTTGCAGGGAGATGAGAAACACGCCCGTACCCTGTGAGTGAAGGCTTGTTATCCTCCATTATACAGAAAAGGAAAGGGGAAATGCAAGGCTCAGTTCCCCAGGGCGCATGGCTGGTAAAGATTTTCAGTCACATCTGTTCAGCCCTGGAGCTCTTGGCTTTTCTGCACACAGAGTCACCATCTCCTGGGGACTCTGGCCCCCACAGTCTCACAAGTTAGAGTTAGAGGCAGGAGTAAAGCTGGTAGGTGGTCCCACATTCTGAGACAGTGAGCTTGGCGGGGGTGGGTGTGGACTGCTCCAAGGACTTCCAACTGGAGCAGGGCAAGTCTGAGACATGTCAAAGGAAAGTGGCGCAAACAGCCAAGTCCCTGGGGACAGACAGGAGAGTGGCAGCAGGGAAGAGTGAGAAGAGAAGCTGGGCAGGCAGGCTGAGGCCAACCTCAGGGCCACAAGTGCAGAGCTGAGGACTTCATACTACTCTCTATGTGAAGTTTGGGGGCGTTTGGAGCAGAGTAGCACTGTGTTCAAAGGAGTAGAGGTTCTAAAGGCCCCGGGAGGCACACGGGGAGGACTTTGCTCCCACCCCTCCCCGACACCCAGCCCCCTTCCCCAGAGGCAGATGTGCCTGCCAGTGTGGGGGTACTTAGGTATCCATCCAGTCCAAGCATCTGTAGCACATCGTGGCATCTCATGCTGCACTTTGCTTTATTCACTTAGCATATATTCTGGAAACTGTCCATGTCAGGAACATCTCCTTTTTGATGACATACAGCATGTCACTGTATGGATGCCCTTGCTGACTAATGTTTGGGATCAAAGCTACCTGAACCAGCAAATAGGGAGTATCCCATCCACAAACTGTAGCAGCATTCACCCGGATTGGTCCCATGAACCTTGGTTCCCTAGGAGCAGGGTAAATAAGAGTCTGAAATTAAACAGATTGCGGGGAACACCAAGTTAAACAAAGTTAAAGAGGATTTTATTCTGTTTTGTTTGTTGTTTCTACTTTTACTGCCATTGCCTCCAAGAAGTAAGTGGTGGTAGTCCTAAGTGTATGGGGCCGCAGAAGCTTGTGTTTCTTCAGAGTTCTTCGGGGCTGGAGGGGAGAGGAGGTGAGCAGAATGCATGCAGAGACACTGGAGGGCAGACTGGAAATCTCCCGCAGCAGCCCCGGAGAGGAGATGGCCGAGATGAAGTGGAGTGGCAAGGGCTGGGGAGGCAGATATGGCCATGCCTGTGGCTGCTGAGCTGTGGGGCATGGGAGACCAGGCAAAGAGGACAGATGACTCCCGGGGTGGGGGCCTGAGTGACTGGCAGATGATTTTTACTGGTGTTCAGGAAAGCATTCAGCTGGGAATAGATTCAACCATTCAGCATAAATAAAACACAGGGCTTCTCCAAGAGAGAGATGGGGGAGCCTTTGGACAAATTATTTCCAGGAAACACCTCTTGAACTCCAGATGTCAGGAGCAGACCTTTGATACTTATGTCCTTCTGGGAGCAAAGCACACAACCCTGGGATCCAGATCCTCCCTGCCTGCTGACTGTGCTAACCAGAACTTGAAGACTGCCAGTGGTGTCGGGAGGGATGAATGAATGCAATCTTTATGTGTTTAAAAATAAATTCTTCAATGTTTCCCTAAGGCTGACTATCTTTAGGTTCTGCATTTAAATCCTTAATGATGAAATAAGTCAGTTATGATGTTGTTATTCTAGGGGAGGAGGTGAAGATGGGGGTAGGGAAACAGAAGTCATTTACTATTTCCTGGCTACCAAATGTGTTCCAGAGACTGGGCCAAACTCTTCACAGACACTGTCTTTCTTAATCCTTACAATACCTGAGCTGGTAGATTATTGACCTCCACTCCTACTTTTTTTTTTTTTGAGACAGAGTCTTGCTCAGTTTCCCAGAAGTGGGTCAATCTTAGCTCACTACAGCCTTGAACTCTTAAGCTCAAGCAATCTTCCTGCCTCAGCCTCCTGAGTAGCTGGGACTACAGTTGGATACTACCATGCCTGGCTAACTTTCATTATTTTATTTCTTTTATTTCTTTTTTTATTTTGTAGAGATGGGGTCTCACTATGTTGCCCAAGGTGGTCTTGAACTCCTGGCCTCAAGTGATTCTTCTGTCTCAGCCTCCCAAAGTGCCGGGATTAAAAGTGTGAGCCACAGCATCAGCCATTGCCCCCGTTTTACAGACAAGATCACAGAGGTGCAGGAGCTCAAATAAATTGCCCTCCATCCCAAAGCTAGCAAGTGAAACCAGAAGCAAAACTACTTTCCTTGCTGTCCATAAAATACTATTTTAAAACCATCCCAACTACTTTAGGTTCTGACATCATCCTAAAAAATTATTTGTTTACATAACAGCATATAGGGTGAGGGGAAAAATGTTTCACACACAAGGATGAATGTGAATAAGTGACAAATAATTAAGAAATAGGGGCTTGAAGTAAGGGCTGTTTCTAAATGCAGCCATTCAAGCCATGGTGGCTGAGGGGACAAACCTGAGTCGTGCCATATCTTATTTTGGATGAGTAATGCGTTTGGAGATGTAGGGGTGCGAATGATGCTTCCTGGAAATAGCTGCCAGAACCTATTTTAATTAAGAAGTCTGAAAAGTAGCTTCTTATTACATGTCCCAGTAGCTCCAGGCAGAAGGGACCCAAACCACACTGAGGCGTGGGTGGAGGCAGAGGAGAGTGTAGCAATTAGAAACAGGCCAACACCCCCAAAAGGACAGCCCCTCCTTCCCACACTGGGCCGGTTTTATCTGAGCTGCAAAGGAAAAGTAGCTGCACCATTTAGTGGTTTCCTTTTCATTTTTGGAAGCGCAGCTTTCCTGAGCTCAGCACTGCAATTAAGCAGAGGAACTCCTTAAGATGGAGAAAGAGGCTTACAGCTCTGGCACAGACCATGGTCACTGAAATTTTACTGCTTAAAAAAAAAAAAAACAAAAAAACCTCTACAAACTGAAAATTCTACAGTTGAAGCTTCTGGAGTTCTAAAGCATCTAATAAAGTGTCATTCTGACAGCCTAAAAGGCAAGAATCTACCTTTTCCTGCTAAAAATCTATGGGAGTCTCTTGTCTCTGAAAACTGACGGAGCCCCCACAGAGGAGAACACCCAGGCTGGTGGCAGAATTTGCAGCAGCTGAGATTTTATAGGGAACTTAACATATGCTCCATCTGAAATTTATTGGGTGCTTACTTTATGCCAGGCAATGTGCTGGGCCCCAGGGAAACAGACATGAAAGACCTTCAGGGAATAATGAGTCTCAGGGGAAACAGACAAGGGATGACAATGCAGTTCAACACATACCAGGAGGGGAGGCTTTGGGGACCCAAAGATTCAGACTGAGGGCTGGCACGCTTCCCAGAGGAAATGCCCCTGGGCACAGTCGAAAGACAGTAGGACATTAAGGCAGACAGCAGGTGCGAGGCGGGGCTGTTGTAGCTGCGTGGAGAGGGCATGGGCTGTCCAGCGGCGTGCATCTGACTCCCAAAGGGGAGAAGTCAAGTTGGTAGGCAGCAATGAGGGAGAGAAGATTCATGCAGAACAAGATCCAGGGGACTTTGCAGGTTATGTGATCTTAAAAGCTAGGGAGAGCTGGGAAGGGGGTAGCATGACACTAGAGGCTGTTACAGAAAAGTCCTTCTTGGCTGGCCATGGTGGCTCACGTCTATAATCCCAGCACCTTAAGAGGCTGAGGCAGGCGGATCACCTGTGTCAGGAGTTCGAGACCAGCCTGGCCAACATGGTGAAACCCCATCTCTACTAAAAATACAAAAATTAGCCAGGCATGGTGGCGCACGCCTGTAATCCCAGCTACTCAGGAGGCTGAGGCAGGAGAATTGCTTGAACCCAGGAGGCGGAGGTTACAGTGAGCCAGGATTGCGCTACTGCACTCCAGCCTGGGTGACAGAGCAAGACTCCGTCTCAAAAAAAAGAAAAAAAGAAAAGAAAAGAAAAATCCCTCTGACAGGGGCAGCGAGGCCAACATGGAGGCAGTAGGAGGCTGTGTTCTAGAAAGGTCCCTGTAGCTGCCACGTGGAAGTGGACTGACGGGTGCAGGACTGGGGAGAAGCAGTCCAAGGAGGGGCTGCCACACGGGTTTAGTGGAAAGAGAGTAAGGGCTTGCACCAGGACCCAGCAGCAGAGATGGAGAAGAGGGGACCCCATCTGCCCAGCCAAAGAAGATACACATTTCAATTTGGGAGAAGTACCGGAGTGACTTGGCACCCCTAACTGGCCACCTGACCTAGAAGCCTACCTAATTGCTGCTTGTCTCCAAGAAAAAAAGAGGATTTTTTCCTTCCTTAGCTAACTAGCAGCTGCCGGGGTAAATTAAATGAAAACAGG